CCAAAATCGCTCCTAGGTCGGCTCCCATGGAGAAAATAATATGAAATGAGCCAAACCCATTTCTTTACACTTATACACTGCCCAGACGAGTCTTCTTCGCGTTCGCGAGACCCCCATCGCGTTCGCGAAGAAGAAAATTCCCAAAAATCGTTTTTCATACTCTTCTCAGACAGCCTCTAGTCTAATGGTCATAACTTTTTGTAAATAACTCCAAATTACAAATGGTTTAATGTTTTGGAAACTACAAACCATGATCTACAACTTTCAAGTTTTAGTCATCTCCCAATTCCTTATAGATTTTGAGATACAAGCTGCCAAAGTCATCCCTGTGCAATACAAATTTCTTCTTTATCCTTCTCGGACAACCTATAGTGTAACAGCCATAACTTTTGGTACACAAATCCAAATTCCAAATGGTTTACATTTTTGAAAACTAGACACAAAGGGATACAACTCTCATTTTTAGATTATCTCCAAATTCCTTATAGATTGTGAGACATGAGCCTCCGAAGTCAGACCTGTGCAGCAGAGATTTCCTTCTATGCGAACGCGAGAACCTCCTCGCGAACGCGAAGAACAGAGTCCCTGAGGCCAAATCCTTCTTCGCGAACGCGGGAGGATCCTCGTGAATGCGAAGAACAATACCAGATACCAGCATCAGCTATTTCAAAATAGCCCGAAATGATCCGAAACCACCCCGGGGCCCCGTCCAATCACACAAACCAGTCCCATAACATAACACGGACCTGCTCGAGGCCTCAAATCACATCAAACAACATCGAAATCATGAATTGCACCCCAATTCAAGCTTAATGAACTTTAGAACTTCAAATTTCTACATTGGATGTCGAAACCTATCAAATCACGTCCGATTGATCTCAAATTTTGCACACAAGTCACATTCGACATTACGGACCTACTCCAACTTTCGGAATTGGATTCTGACCCCGATATTAAAAAGTCCACTTCCGGTCAAACTTCTCAAAAACCTTCAAATTTCTAGCTTTAGCCAAATGGCTCCAAAATGACCTACGGACCTCCGATTTCACTTCCGATCGCGCTCTCATCTCCAGAATCACCATACGGAGCTATTCACAGATTCAGAATCCCAAACGGACATCGATAACACTGAAATGCACTTCAAGCCAAAGTTATGAAATTTCCTCCAAAATGCTAACTTCGACAATAGACGCCAAAACGCTCCCGGTTCATCCAAGACCCGATCTGGGCATACGCCCAAGTCCGAAATCATCATACGAACCTGCTGGAACCTTCATATCCCAATTCCGAGGTCGTTTACTCAAAAATCTAATCCTAGTCAATTCTTCCAACTTTAAGCTTCCGAAATAAGAATTCTCTTTCCAAATCAACTCCGGACTTCCCGAAATTCAATTCCGACCATGCGTACAAGTCATAATGCCTGAAATGAAGCTACTCATGGCCTCCAACTGCTGAACGACGTGCTAGAGCTCAAAACAACCGGTCGGGTCGTTACACTAACCAAGCACTGGAATTTACTTACTTGGCCACCAACATGCACACAAAACCAAATCCTATAATTAAGGCTACTTATCGGGCTAATTGGACGGTTATTTACTTTTAATGGTTTGGCTTATCGGTTATCGGCTTTTAAATGTATTAATCTGCTAGCCACCCGATTCTGTCTTTTTTCACAATTAGATGACTCCTTTATTTTGACTTTCTTTTATTCTAATTCACTTTGATAGAGTACTGGAGGAAGAAGGGTTTTTGATTATTATATATATATATATATATATATATATATATATATATATATATATATATATATATATTCTTAACGGGTTAATGGATTATTCGTTAAGAAAATTGAATAATCCGTCCCAAATCGATAAGCCGTTAGTAAAAAAAATTCAATCCGTTTCCCATCTGTTAAGCCGTTAACCTGATGCCAATAAGCCATTAAGCTTCGATTTCGGTTTCGGTTCGGTTTCGAACACCCCTACCTATAATGCAGGCCATAAATGGATCCATCCTAAACCAAACTACTATAAATTAAATACGGGTGGGGCTGCATCATCAGTAACTCACAAAGCAGGTATAGGGGGACTCATACGTGATTCAAATGGAAATTGGATTATAGGATTTGCAGGTAACATTGACACTTCAACCAGCATCCATGCAGAACGACAAGCCCTCTTTCATGGGCTGGAATTGGCACTACTTGCAATTTGATTCCTCTAGAAATAAACGATGATGCATCAGAGGTACTAACACTGCTAAAAAATGATCATTTATACTAATATAATCTCTGACTGCAGGCACCTCCTGGACCAAATGCATAGCGTCACAGTTGCGCATAACTACAGAGAGGGAAATAAGGTGGCTGATCGTTTGGCTAAAGCAGGCTACAACATGGCACCTGCTACAAGACCTACTGTTTTTGAAGAGCCACAGGGTTTTGTCAACACCATTTTGCAAATGGATCAAGCAGGAGCTGTACGCTATAGGAGGACGACATGCCGATCAGCGGAACAAGCTCTGGATATAGAACAAAACCCTTTTTTTGCCACTGATGACGAACATGCAACCGCAACCCCCAGTGGCGTTACTATAGTAGAGAACTCCATTGGGCTATGTAGTGTCCATCCATGTACTAGACAATTATCAAACAACTCTAATGGCGATGCACAGGCATCACCCTCTCTATAGTAACTCTCTTTAAGTTTTTTAATGCATTATTATCTTTCTTACCAAAAAAAAATACTATATTAGAGTTGTTAAAATGGGTTTGGGTCGTAGGGCCAATTCAATCCAGCCTGCTACATAGGTAGGATTGAGTTAGAATTTTCGAGCCCATTTGAATTGGTAGCTTATAAGTCTGATTCAAATCAGCCGAAATTAAAAAATAGCCAGATTTATAAGTGGTAATTGTAAATAGCCAAAATTTCAAAAGTAATCGAAATTTAGTCACTTTTTATGTAAAGATAAATCTGAACGAAAATAGTGTTCACAATCCGAAAAATATTCCAGCACAATATATCGGAGTTCGAATTTTTTACATGTGAACTGACAACATAATATACTGGAGTTCCAGCATAATATACTAGTCCAGCATAATATGCTGGAAGTTCATACATTGGTGCTCCAATCTCCGGTATATTATGCTGGAACTTTCCGTGTGCTAGAGTTCCAGCATAATATGCTGGAAGTTCATGCATAGGTGCACCAATCTCCAGTATATTATGTTGGAACTTTCCGTGTTACCGCAAAATAGTGGCTATTTCTCAATGACTTTGTAAACGCTGGCTATTTTTCAATTATCGGTCCGAAAACTGGCTATCCCGTGCTATTTTCACTGCTAGCCCTTCAGGCTAGACTGTGGCTCGGCCTGGGCCGACCCGTGAGCTAAATTCAATTAAAATATCTAATAGTTAAAAGAAAAGGTAAAAAAGTAAAAACTAAGCTATCCTTCCCAACCCTAAATCCAAAGTTAACTTCATACGTAATTCCAAATATTTTGTATTAGTGCAAATAATTTCTAGTGGTCATTATACGTTAATCGTTATAGAGCGTATATTTCTACAGAATGCGAGGAAAGTTACTCCGTGCAAATTGTACGTTATATTTTGGGTTAATTTATACTATTCTTATTAGCAAATCATCTCATATCTGCTCTTGCTAAAATATGACAAAGTAAAAAGTTGATATATTTTAAATAGTAGTATTGGGATGTAATATACAAATTATGATATTCCAAGTATGGACAAATTTGTAGTGGTATTCTCGGAATAACATTTGGACCAAACTCGACAAACTTCAGCTCCCTACCGAACCCCCAAGTCTGCACTTTCTCGGCACACGTTTCAACACACCCACCAACTATTAGTGTTTTTTAGGCGGTTTAATAATAAAGATATTTTCCCTAATTTTATTAAAAGGGAATATTTTTTTTGGTCAAAAAAAAAGGGAAATTTCTTTTCAATTATTTATCAATTAACTTCATATAATATTTTAATTGAGTATTATTGATACCAAAATTCCATCAAACCTGAATATATTTTGCTACTCTCTTCGTGCCTTTTCATGTGTCATTATTTGGCGAGACATGAAATATGAAAATGAAAAAACTAAAACTTGTTGCTTGAATTAAATAAAAATATCTATGTGCATATAAACTATTTATCTCATTAAGAAATAAAATAAGAAATTTAAAATTAAATTAATCTTAATATTTTTAGGATTGACGGTCACTAAGTGGGCGTTTGGACATAAGATTTGTAAAAAAAATTTTAAAAAAAAAAGTGAGTGTTTTTTTCAAGTGAAAATGGTATTTGAAATTAGATTTGTGTTTGGACATGAATATAATTTTGAGTTATTTTTTAAGTTTTGTGAGTGATTTGAGTGTAAATTTTGAAAAATGACTTTTCGGAGTTTTTCAAATTCTCGAAAAATTCCAAAATTCATCTTCAAGTGAAAATTATAAATTTTATGGCCAAACACTTATTTCGAAGAAAAATGAAATTTTTTCTAGAAAAAGTGAAAAAATTCTTTTGTCTAAACGGGCTCTAAGTTAGTACAGAAAAAGTAATATTATTATCTTCTTCAATAAATATATTTAGAACAACGCGACATTCAATATAATTCCAACAATTAGGGTCTGAGGAGGGTGGAACATGCGTGTAGCTTACCTCTACCTTTATGGGATGGAAAGATTGTTTCAGATAGAACCCCGATAAAAAAATATTTTTCAAAAAGATAACAATAACAACAACAACAATAAAATACCGAGTATATTTCCACAAGGTAGGACTTATGGAGGATAGTGTTATTCCTATCTTGTACATGTAAAGAGGTTGTTTCTAATAGACAGCTCAAGTAAGCACAATATTAGTAGTTTCAAAAATAAGTTTGAAAAACATTAAGAATAAAATAATTATGATAATATTAGAAAATTAATTAATAAATACTTTTTACTCAACCAAATATTTTTATTTTTCCCTGTCAAATATCCTTTTCCTAAAAGAATTAAACTATGTGCCAATTTTAGTGGCATCATTCCCCAGCATCTCCTCCCATCCCTTCTTCCCTATAACAAACCGATAAACTCATAGATCAGATTGAACTCTCTGTTTCTTCCTTCTATTCAAAACACAAACAAATCCTCAAAACTCCCAAATCTCTAAAATCTTGAAATTAAATTCCATGCCAATTCATAGTCAAAATCAAGAAACTCCAAATCCAAACACAAAACCGAAAAAAATAATTTCCCTTTTCATAAAATGTGTAATTATGGCTTTAGTTCTCTCCCTTTTCCTTGTTTTTCTCCTTTTCTTAGGTTTCGCCGCCCTTGTCCTCCTCCACTTTTTAATAACCTCCACCGCCTTCCACCGTCGTCACCGCCGTCGCTACCACCGGAGAACCTCGACAACCCCATCAACAACGACAACAACCTCGTATGATCTGCCTTGTGTTAATTACTGTGGGTCCCAGCAAACTGTTAAGGATTGTGCTATTTGTTTGGAGGGATTTATGGAAGGAGAATTTTGTAGGAATTTGCCCGGTTGTGGTCACTTGTTTCATGTGAAATGTGTGGATTCTTGGCTTACGAGGGTTCTCAATTGCCCCATTTGTCGGAGTCGGGTTCGGGTCGATTCGGGTTCTGTTATTAGTGATGAAGATTGGAAGACTTGGTGGGCTGTTGGTGTTTCAGCTGGGTAGCTGCTTTTTTGCTGAATTTCTGCATTTTGGATTGTAAGTCTTTTGAAAAAAAAAAATCTTTTTAAAATCCTTTTTTTTTAATGCTCTGTTTTTGTACATATGTTGAGCATTGTAATGCATGGTTTTGTATCCATCTTCAATGTTATTTTGCCTAGAGTGTCATTCACCCCCTCGTTCCAATTTTTTTTAGTCCGTACCAAAAAAATGACATCTTTCTATATTTAGTAACTATTTAATTTTAAAATGCCTTTTTTTTTAACTCTTAATGTGATGATTTATCGCCACACAGATATCTGTAGCTCATATAGATGACAAGTTTCAAAGGCCTTCCTTGTTGTTCTTAAATTTCGTGCGCAGTCAAATACCGTCACCTAAATTGGGACGGAGGGAGTAGTTGATTAGGAATGGTATTATTGGCTAAATGATAGCAGCTAAGGACATATTAAAATTGTTGGAATTTGTTCAATTCGATGTTGTTAAATCTGAATAAAGGCTTAAATACCATGTTATTGCACCGGTGTTATTAAAAGACATTGATTTGTCGCTTGAAGTGATAAACCGATGCAAAAGCGAGGGATCATTCCTTCACGAGTGAAGGAAGTCATACGCTTCACTCGTTATTAAAAGACATTGCTTCATCACTTTAAAGTCATGAACTAATGTGAAGCGACGGATCATTGCTTCATTGTTGAAGTCGTACACGTCAGGAAGTGTGCGTTTCAAACAATGAGGCGCAAAGTGATCTCAACTAGAAATGGTTGGTTCTTTCCCTCTTAACTTTGAGGAGTTGGATTAATTTTGGAATTATTGTTTAGTGGATGCTAAAATTAGTCATTGTAATTGGAAGTTGATCATTATAGTAGTACTAAATCCATTTACATTCGATATTTTGTAGTTTCACCAAATTGTATGTTTCACTTTTCACTTTTCGCTTCAAGCCTCACGGACCTTGTTGCATTTTTGTGCTTTTCAGTTTTAAAATCATTGGATTGCACTAGTTTCATAGTTGATAATGCTTCATTGATGATGGTAGTGCCTTTCTTGCAAATTGATAATGCTTCACCTGAGAAGCTATGTTGCTCTGACTCTCCGAAAAATGTTACCGAGTACGTGTCGGTTCCTCCAGAAGTATTTTTTGAGGATCCGATACGGGTGCGGTAGCATTTTGGAGAGTCTGCACAGAGAAGTAGTATATCTTAAGGTTTTTTTTAACAAGCTTTCTCTATGAAAATGCTTGTATTTTGTTCTGTTATACTAAAGTTTGAGAAAGAGAGCCTTGGCGTAACTGGTAAAGTTGTTGCCATGTGACCAGGAGGTCACGGGTTCAAGCTGTGGAAACAGCCTCTTGCGGAAATGTAGGGTAAAGCTGCGTACAATAGACCCTTGTGGTCCTGCCTTTCCCCGGACCCCGCGCATAGCGGGAGCTTAGTGCACCGGGCTGCCCTTTTTATACTTAAGATTGAGAAGTCCTAAAATATTAGAATGTTAAGTTGATTAAAACCAACTTCTGATCTTACTCTAGGAACTGATGCCAGAAATCAGAAAACAGGGAATCATAGACTGAAGAGAATGGTGGAGTGGAATTGCATAGAGGTATTTTCTCGAAAAGTTGTTAACTTAACTGGTGAAGGATTAAATCTTTGGCTTCTGATGTGAATTTCGTTCCACGACAGAAATAAACTGTAGTTTCGTTAATCTTCTTGTAGTGTAGTTTCTTCCCAAATTAATGATTTGGAGATGATCATATGTATATAAATTTTGCCTTTGTAATTAGGTTCTGTTGAATGATTTGATGTGTAATCACATAAGGATGGGGAGTCACTCTTTCCCTTCATTGTGTATACTTTTGATCCCTAGTCTCTAAATCAAAGATTAGATCTCTTAATGTGTAGTGGATAAATGGCCGTTTAACGTTTCAATCTCTTTGATCACCAGTTGTGAATGAACTTGGATATCATTTTGTTAGTTCAGTTTCTACATGCAATCAATCTCTGTTCAGTGTTGTCGAATGCTCATCGAAGGCGCACTTAGGCGCTGACGCTCAAAAAAGCTCAAAGAAGGCTCATCTAAGGCGCACTTAAGCCTTGAAGCTTAGAAAAGCTCAAAGAAGGTGTTTCGCCTTGCTTAAGCTATGGTGTAGGCACAGCACTAAGGCGTGTGCATCATTGCTCATCAGTTCTATCTTGAATTGATCAATATTAAACAACAAATATAACCGTCAAATAAGTGTATTAGTTATTGTGAAAAATATCATGAATTGATTTGTTTCATTTTTCTTTGAATCACATATATATTTTTATTTTTTCCCTCATTGTGCATTTTTTTAACTAAAGGCCGCACTTCAGTTGCGCTTAAAGCCCAATAGACTTGTAGCGTTGTTTTGTTAAAGTCTTAACATCTTCATGGGGCAATATCAGTGAATCTGAGTAGAAATGGCATGGGGTAGCCACTATTTAAGGTGGTATTTATTTTTTATCCAGCAATTCTAATGTTGAGCAAAAATAGCCACTATCCTATTAAAATGAATATGAAAAGACATTTTTACCCTTTCTTCCCTTGTTTTTCTTCCCAAACCCTTGCTTCTCTCTCTGCGTGCCTTCTCCATAATATGTTTGTCTTCCTCACCATCGAGTTGTCCAGTTTGTAGAAATTCTCCATTGCCAACTCCTTTGTCCACTCCTTTGACTGAGGTTGTTCCTTTGGCAAGTCGACCTTCGGGATGGATACACTTGTACTTCATTATTAATGTAAGAGTTTTCAAACATGGTTTATAATATTGTGGACTACTCCATTTATTGCCATAAAGTTGAGATTTTTTTATTTTTTATTCATCAAATTCTTGATGTTTGTTTCATTATCTGCTCGTCCTCTGTAAAGAGGAGCGATGACATAGGATAAGCTTGCTTATGTGTCCAAGTGAGTTATAACCAATTATAATAATCATGGATTCCAATAACATAACATCATTGCAAAAGGACGGGGAGAAATAGATTACATGAATTTATTACTTACAAGTAGCGAAACCAGTTTTTTCTTTTTTACCAACTTATAATTACACGTATTCTTTTTTTTTCTTCTTCAGTTTTACCATATTTTCTGAGGAGCCATTTTTGTGTGTTTACATTTAATTTATTTTGTGTTAAAATAAATTAAAAGTTAAGGACAATAGGTCCTGAACTTAGGCTAAAAAGTTAAGGACAGACAGTCCTTAACTTACAGTTACAAGTTCAAAAGTTAAGGACAATAAGTCCTTAACTTTGATTTCCAAGTTCAAAAGTTAAGGACAGACAGCAGTTACAAGTTCAAAACTTAAGGACAATAGGTCCTTAACTTTGATTTCCAAGTTCAAAAGTTAAGGACAGACAGTCCTTAACTTACAGTTACACATTCAAAAGTTAAGGACAAGCGGTCCTTAACTTACAGTTACAAGTTCAAAAGTTAAGGACAGACAGTCCTTAACTTATAGTTTCAAGTTCAAAAGTTAAGGATAGTCGGTATTTAAGTTATTGTTTCAAGTTCAAAACTTAAGGACTTTCTGTCCTTAACTTTGAATTTCAGTTTCAAAAGTTAAGGACAGGCAGTCCTTAACTTATAGTTTCAAGTTCAAAACTTAAGGACATGCAGTCCTTAAGTTATTGTTTCAAGTTCAAAACTTAAGGACATGCAGTCCTTAACTTTGACTTTAAAGTTCAAAAGTTAAGGACAGACAGTCCTTAACTTACAGTTACACGTTCAAAAGTTAAGGACAAGCAGTACTTAACTTACGGTTACAAGTTCAAAAGTTAAGGACAATAGGTCCTTAACTTTGACTTACAAGTTCAAAAGTTAAGGACGCTTGGTCTTGAAGTTTGAGTTCCAAGTTCAAAACTTAAGGACATGTAACCTTGAAGTCCTGAACTTAGAGTTCCAAGTTCAAAAGTTAAGGACATGTAGTCTTGAAGTCCTGAACTTAGAGTTTCAAGTTCAAAAGTTAAGGACATGTAGTCCTGAAGTCCTGAAGTTAAGGACATGAGCAGAAGGGTATTTTTGTCCGAGCAGTTAAAGTTTATTAAACCAGTGGCTAAAGACTAAAGACATTTAAAACGCTGGCTTTAAAATAAAGACATAAGTTGTTAGTGGCTATCTGTGCACATCGCCCTGAATCTGATAGGAGTTCTTATTTGCATAGAATTAGCTTGAGAGGAGGTTAAATAGCACAAGTTGACTCGGACATTACCGTTACTGGAAAAAAATCATCATAGTCTTCACATTTCAGTTTCATTTCATGTTACACACAGCATTTGAGACTGCAAACAGGAAGCAGTGGGGATTGTTTGGTGGTTGAGGGGACAGCTTAAAGGCTTATCCTTTTCGAACTAAATTTTTTAGGACAAAAAGATAAGAGGAAGAAGTTGATTTTGAGCAATTTGCTGCTGTGTTGGTTAGTTTGAAGTCGCTTTTGGTGTGTGAAGATAAGTAGGCTTCGTATTATAATCTTAGAGATAACTATATCAAGTAGTATAATAAGTAGTATACGACGACAACAACAACAAATTACAAGTGGGGTTTGGGGTCTGGGGAGGGTAGTGTGTATGCAGATCTTACCGCTACCTTATGAAGATAGAGAGGTTGTTTCCGGAAGACCCTCGGCTCAAGGAACAATGAACTAAATCAACAAACAATAGCAACAACACAGTAATAGGGTAACAAGAGCGAATAACACAACATGTACTAAAAACGAACTAGGATAAGCAAATACAACAATAGGATTAGTTTTACTGACAAACTTAGGAGAGACTCGCGACTAATCTGTCAACCTTCAGCCCTAAAATCACATGGCAATTATTTTATATATACTACCTACTACTAGTATAGTGGGTAGTAAATATAAAAAAATTGCTATGTGATTTGAATTGAATACAGAGAATGGTGTATCGTATCTGTAGCAATTCAACAACAACAACAGATCCAGTGAAGTCCCACAAGTGGGGTCTGGGGAGGTAGTATATACGCAGACCTTACCACTCCTGAGAGGATAAGAGAAGTTGTTTTCATAGAACCTCGGCTCAAGAAAAATGGAAAGAAACAGTAGAAAAAAAAATATTCCCCAGACATATTTCGTTTAATGCAACAAAAATTATAGCACTCCTTGTTTTTTTATGGCACTTTGTAGCGACTTGTCTTTAGAGTCTAGTTGCTCTTCTGGATTTGTTAAGCTTCAAGGCGCTCCGCCCTTCACTATAATCTTCTTCACGATAATGGGGTTCCTGTACGGGCGGGGCGGGGCGGATATGGTTCGGGTCGAAAACGGGTAATGAAAAAACGGATAAATTATCCGACCCAACCTATATATAATACGGATAAAAAAACAGTTTAACCGGCGGATAATATGAGTAACCATACTATCCATGACTTCTTGCATATGATCACTTTTGGGAGAATTCTTAGTCTCCCTAACTTGAAGAATCCCCAATTTGAGTCTTTACAAATGTAAAAGTTAGACTCATTGGTTACCCATTGGTTATCCATTTTCTAAAGGGAGAATTACACAAAAATACAGTCCACCTATATACATTGCAGCAAAATAACCCAGTTACAACTTTACAAATCTGTAGCCCATTAACAATAGGCCAAAGTTTGAAATATAAGCATATTTTTTTTATTCTGCAGATCTTCAAGCACGAAAATTCGATTATTTTTTATTCTTCTTCCCCAAGTTTGTATATATTCCTGTTCCAGCTACAAAAAATTCAAATTCATATATAATGCAACTTGAAAACCTTAAGTTTTCTTCTTTTCCAAGTTCCAAATAGCATAAATAAAAAATAAAAAGTGAAAAAACTATTGCATGTTCATGATTTTGCAAATAAATCAACAAGAAAAGTCGATTTATACATAGATTGAACATATGAAATTTTAATTTTAGATTTAACTGCACATGTGCATTACATTTTTAATGATGTATAACTTTGTATAAACTTGTATATACAATCTCTAATAATGTATATCAGAAAAATAAGATAAAGAAGAAAAAAGAAGAAAGTGTCAAATATCCATGGATGCCTATTATACACGTACAATGTGTATACACACTTATACATTAAAAATATATCTGATTTATACAATGTTGTACGCATATATACACAGTCATACATATTTATACAATATTGTATAAGTGTGTATAAACACTACCTATACAAATTTACACTAGAAAACACCTTTTGTCCATGACCACATTACAGTTTTTGGTGGTTGCTGGTGTTGAATTTTTTCGGCGAGATTTTGGCATTCAAATCTGGGCTTCACCAGTAGCAAAGGATAAAACAAAAACTAAGAGAAATAACAAAATATGAGACGAGGTCGCCGGAGCTGCTCTTTAAGGCAAGATCTGATAGTTTTAGGCCAGGTCTGATAGTTTTTGGACTGATATGCCAAATTTTATTGTGGCTCTTTAACCTCTTTTGTCAATTAACTCAAAAATCGAAATCTAATTGACATAGAATGCGAGGATTATCATGAGTGTGTACAAAAAAGTTCTGTAATTTTTAGGGAGAACGAAGAGAGAGGCGAGTGAAGAGAGATTGAGTATGCTGGGAAAGAAGAAAGAAGAAAAGAAAAAAACCCTAGAAGTATGTCTTTAATAATGGGCTAAAGACTGAAAAGTTTCTTTCAAATTATATATAACCTGGGCTAAATGGGGTAAAGACTTTAAACCTAGGCCATTTTTAGTTGGGTTGTTGTGCCAAGTGATTAAATATGTAATTCTTTCTTTTCTAAATGGATAATATGGTTCTTATCTAAATTTGACCCGTTTTTAAAAAGTTCATTATCCAACCCAATTTTTTAGTGGATAATATGGGTGGTTAACTGTTTTCTTTTAACCATTTTGTCACCCTCACTCCTATCTATCGT